TATCTCAGCAACAAAGCACCATGGGGATGAACCAACTTAGGGTATTTCACTACTCACTGAGGTCTACAAGATACAAGTAGTCCGAGTTCAAAAGCGATTTATAACCTCAAGAGGTTCCCTCGTAAGACATAAGTAACTTGTCCAAGCTTATTACATGACTTTGCTAGCACTGAGACTCGAACACAGTATGTTTGAGGTACATGACGAACAATATAACTACCAAGTCATGCTGCCTATATATTTATTTTATTTTAGTAATTTTCCACTATCTTCAACTAATATTTCTTTTTTTAAAAAGGTGAACGATTATTAAAAATTGTTGAACAAGAAGCAGCTTACAATAAAAATTCAATTGATGGTACAAGTGTATTAAGAATTGCTCGTCTATTATGGGCTGGCACCTTATCTGTAAAAGCATTAATTTTATTTAAATTATTTGATTATGATAATAATAATCGAGTATCTTTAAGTGAAATGAAAACATTTTATCAACAATATTTAAAAGAATTTAAATTTCCACATAATGAAAATCGTACAAATGAAATAATTGATATATTTCTAACGGGTTTTCATTTTGACGATGATGATGATCAACAAATTAATTTTGATCAGTTTTATACTGTATTACAATCAAATGATGAATTATTACATACACTCTATTTGATAAGTATACCAGATCAACATCTATTAATCTCAAATTTACAAAATAAAATAAGTCATCATTGTTGTACACGAGAATATATAAAAAATAATTTAAATCGAATTATTTGTTTATTCATTTATATCTTAGTTAATTTATCTTTAATAATCTATGTAGTTGTATATCGTTTAATGATGGCAAAACTTAATGGATGGGAAATAACAGCACGAATTGGTGGTGAATTAATTAATTTTAATTTTTCATTTTCATTTCTTCTTATGTTAAAACAAACAATTACATTAATTCGTAGTAATTCATTTTTAAGACATTATGTACCAGTCGATAATCATATTGATTTACATAAAATTGTTGGTACAGTTATTGCTGTTTCATCAATTGTTCATTCACTTGCACTCATGATTAATTATACAGTTAAACCATCAGAGTATACTTGGATACAACAAATGTTTACAACTATACCTCAATATGGTTGGATCAATGGTACTGCACCTATTACAGGTATCGTTTTATTTATTCTTCTATTTATTATGGTATTGTGTGCAATGCAATTTGTTCGACAAAAAACAGGCTATTATCAATTATTTTACTATACTCATTTATTATATGTACCATTATTTATATTGTTAATTATTCATTCCCGAGATTTTTGGAAATGGTTTATTGGACCAATAGTTCTTTTCTCAGTAGAAAAATTATATTCCTTTAAACGATGTTTTGGTAAATATGGTCTAACATATTTGTTATCAGTAACAATTGAAGATGAAAATGTTTTATCATTAATCATTTATCGACCACATAATTTTTCTTTCAATATTGGTGATTATATTTTCATAAACTTTCCACTTATTGCCTCATATGAATGGCATCCATTTACTATATCAAGTGGACCAGAAGAAAAAAATTTTCTTCGCCTACATATACAAAAGCAAAAAAATTGGACAAAAAAATTACATGATTATTTTACAAATTATAGTAAACAACGTGATTCCTATGAGAAATTAGTTGATACGGTTCTTCTTCCAGTCATGCCTGAATATACTCGCATACAATCTCCGAAAATAATCGAATTTAATGATCAATCTGGAAATAAACAGATAAATTTGAGAATTGATGGTCCCTATAGTTCATGTACAAGATACATATTTGACTGTGAACATTGTGTATTAATTGGTGGTGGAATAGGTATAACACCATATGTAAGTGTTCTAGAAAGTCTAATGTATCAATTTCGTTCTCAACGTATGATATGTTCAAATTGTTCACATATGAATTATACAAATGAATTTTGTTGTCGACGAACATTAAAAAAAGTTGATTTTATTTGGATTAATCGAGATGTTAAAAATTTTGGTTGGTTTATTAAATTATTATCAGATTTTGAAGTTGAACAAGAAACATATTTGAATGCTAATCCTGAACATGAACGTTATTTAGATATTCATTTGTATTTTACATCATTGGCATCAAATGAAACGAATAGAATGGGTAATGTTGCATATGATCTTGTAGCCAATGTTTATTCACAAATATCTCACAAAGATATGTATACAAATTTAAAAACTAAAACACGAATTGGTCGACCAAATTGGAAATTATTATTTTCAAAATTAAAAGTTGAACAAAAAAATCGAACAACAAGTGTTTTTTTCTGTGGAAATAAAACGATGGGACAAACAATTAATCAACAATGTCAAGAACAAAATTTTTTATTTCATTCAGAACCATTTGATAAATAGCCTCGTTTTTTTGTATGTTTATATAAGCTAGCATTAAATCACATTTGTTTTATAATTCCTCTGAAAAGATAAGATAAAAGGTACCTCAATTGATAATCTACATTTATCTCTATATAAAGTGACGCATACTTCCGAACTGTAACTTTTGTTTCGACCAGAGTAAAAAAAACAAAATACTTATGAACATCGAGTTCATTGTTATACTGATGAACTTTTCTTTTCTTGAAATCATTTGTCAGATGAATATGAATTATTTATTACTACTAGTCTTTTTTCCATGCAGATTGAATGTGTGTTGTGAGGTGCAGGATTGAGGATCAGGGGGCTGGATGCTGTGAACTAATGAGGGAGGTCCACGAACTGTCTAAAAGTATCTTATGCAATTAGGACATAAAAAATCAAACGGATTTGTTTGGTTTATAATTTTTTGGCTTTTTTTCCAGATGTTTCCCGAATTAGTTGAAGAAAAATTGGACTAGTTTGTATTTTCCAAGTATAATTCATAATCAGTCTGACGAATATTTTTAAGCAATTCATTGTTTAAATGAGTACAAATAAAACTACATAAAATGCAATTTTTAATTAGCTTGTCGAAAGAAGGCTATTATCTGTGCATTAAAACCAGGGGCGAACCACCTATTTTGTTCGGCAAGTCGAGTTCTAAAGAGTGGTCTTCTATTGCGGTCAAATTTTGTCGCCTGCTACAGAGCTGGACAGCTCCGACCCCTCCCGGCTCCAAGTTTTTCTGTCCGGCTCCGACTCCAAAAAATGTTCATCTTTCCTTTTTTCTTTTGATTGAATTTCCTAGGCTTTCAAGTAAGGAAAAATGTGAAAATGAAAATCGTTTTGAAGTACAAATATGCTCTATAACTGTATGATATATACATAAAAAATCTTCTATCGAAAGCGTTACATTTAACAGAAGAAGGACGAGACTGAGGCAACATATATTAACGTGGCATCAGCGCACACACTCATATAACTATCTGCTGTAAGAGTGTCGTTTTTACTTCGACCGAACATGCACATCGGCTCCGGTTCTGAACGCAACGCTTCCCTTCCAGTTCCGGCTCCGTTTGAAGCTGTCCAGCTCCGGCCTGCTAGTAATCCATCGGTGGCTTCTTTTCCACAAAATCTTAAAAAAGAACATGTATGGACTGATGATCGAAAATGTGGTACAAATATGATATCAGAAGACATGAACTCCAGAAGAATAACATATTAGAGTCAGATAAAATACAATATGTTTTCTGCCTTTCCTATCTGTTATTTGCAATACGAGAACATTTTGGGCTATATGCTCAAATATAAAAACACTATATGACCGTTGGAGAGCATAATTCCAAGTCTTCTAAACATCCTCTCAAAGCCCTACTTTCAAATACGATTTGAGATCTGTTTTGTAAACGCTAACATTCTAAACACATTCCTTGTAAATATATGCAACTGAACAGATCTCTCTACACCTGCTTCACGATTTTTCGTGCAAAACATACCTGTCTACTTAGAAACACCAATTCTGTTCTCTTGCCTGTACGACATCTCTTTTCTTTCGGAGGAAAAAGACCTTTTCTTTCCTATTAAAGGCAAATACTTTGGTTACTCATAATATTCTTTTCTCACATACAGCACACGTGTCAGTTACAATAATTTTCATTTTTCAAATACACAAGGCAGAACACACAAAGTACTTTTTCTCCGTTTGATTAAACACTTTTCAGAGATGGCCTCGTGTAAAGTTCCATGTGTTGTTTGCACGAAAAGTGCTAGTATATTCACCTGCGATGGCTGTCAACGGAAACTCTGTCGAAAATGCTCGAATGACCACCGACAACAGCTTAGTAAAGACTTCGACAACATCATCTATGAACATGACAAGCTCAAACAAGACATAGAAGAAGACCATCACTCATCTCATCCTCTCCTAAACAAAATTGATCAGTGGAAGAAGGATTCGATCAACAAAATCACCACACTTGCTGATCAAGCTCGAGACGATGTCATCAAACTGTTGAATCACAACAAATATCATGTGAAAGAGTGCGTTAAAAGCCTAAGTGTTGAACTAACACAAGGTCAAGATGCCGATGACTACATTGAGCCAGATCTAGCTAAGTGGATGGAACAAATCAAGCAACTGAAAGAGGAAATAGCAGCACCACCAAACATCATAATGGAAGAGCAAGCACAAGCATCGAGAAAGGTTAACTCACTCAAGTTAACTCAGAAAGGTTAACTCACCCTTAACTTTTGACCGTTTTTTGTCACGCCGTGACGGTTTTTCTGATTTTTCGTTGATTAATACAGATTAATTAGAATAGTTTCGAACTTTGAAAGCTATCATATCTTGTAGAGCAAACAATTTTCTACAAACTGATATACTTGTTCAATTTTCGCCTGCTCGTCTTCAGTGTATTAGACACGTTTTTCAGATAGCTCCAAAATCGATTTTTGGGGCTGTTTGTACGACAGCTGTATTTTCATAACTAATCAACATTCAAAGCCAAGACACTTTTCATATTGTAGAGAAATGTTTAATGTACTTAATTATGTAGTTGCGATTTATATTAGTTTATAGCTTTACTTTTATAATCTGTTGAAAAAGAGCGAAAAAAGATACGGTTAGCTGGACAAGCCGTTAAACGGTTTGCGTGTGCAACTGGGAATTGACTGAATAGTTCCTAATCCTCGACATGTACGATTACCTGGTGAAATACCTATATTAATCACTTCAGCTTTTGACAAATACTGTTATTAATTCCAAAGAAACGGCTGAACTGAGTCCTGGAACTAGGTATACAACGAACCGAACAACCGACTCGGGCAAGTTCGAATCGGACACTGTGGGATCATACACTGTTTGACTCAAACACTGTTTGACTCAAACACTGTTTGACTCAAACACTGTTTGATTGGGACACTGGTTGACCCAAACACTGTTCGACACAATCACAGTTTGACTCAAACAGTGTCCGAATCAAACACTGTCTGACTCGCACATTAACCGATTCGGACATGTTCGAACAGAACATTCAAACACCGTTCGACTTTTTTCATTTCTGTTAAGTGTCTGTTTAGTGCATAAATCTGACGAGTTTTAAGTGTGTTTAAATCACATCAGTGGCTGAAATAATCGAAGATGCTCCGAACTCGCAGGTGTCAGCAAAGCTGTTGTTATTTATTTAACTTTGATGCCGTTCAGACTAGAACTGAAGGAAGGACGCGGCTTTTGAAATACACTGCGACTACATTGGTTTTCTGCTATTTTAAGTCTGATTTCCCCACTTTATTAGTGGTGTTTTTCTGCGATGTCGACTCACTTCTCACGTGGAAAAATTTTCCATTTTCTCAAAGCATTAAGAGCCCTTTACACTTAGTTCTGAGAATAGCTCTTACCTCTCGAGCCTCTCATATATAAGTATCAAGCACCCTAGGAGAAAGTCGTTTGAACGAGAAAATCCAAATTTCGCAGTTCATTATAAAACTGTATAGTGACAGTGAGCACAAAATGCTTAGCACGTCAACTCACCTGCCCAGGACGATGATTACGACGATCGTAATACGTCAAATTACGACGTCGTATTTTGACGTTTACGATAGTATTTCGTGGTAATCCGGCATGTTTTGTGGAGAAGTATTACGGTGATCGTAATACTGTCATCGTATATTGTCGTATTTCATCATAAATCACAGTTTACGACAGTCGTAATCCTTCTCCACGGTTCCTTTCGTCGTATTTTGACGTAAACTGTAGTTTACTGTCGCGTGGATTCGACCTGGGTACAATTTTAGATGAATCTTGAATAAATACGAAAAACTTGTTCAGTAAAAAACATGTGAAAAGGAGATCGGAATTTCTGATCGAGGAAGGTTTACGCAAAAAATCTTAATAGAGACGTTTTTCTGTATTCAGTAGCGGAGTCTTCCTTACATCTAAAGCCAAGCCTTGCAGTAGGGAATCAGACTGAATCAAAGAGCGTAGAGACTGCGTCGAACATGGAAGCGAAAAATGTTCGTTCAGATTAAACTAACTGTGATCATAAGATTATAGAGAAGGTTTAGTGTTGAAATCTATTAAAAAAACCACTTTTTTGCCGTCTTTGGTCAAAAGACAATTTGTATACTGTTGCATCTTTTCTTATGTATGAATAGGCAAATGATACAATGGGTTCGCCACTTTCTGTTTGTTCTCTTCATTTACTTAAACTTGTTTTCCTTCTTTTCTTGAATAAATAAAACTTCTAATAAGGAAAAGGAAACAGAATTAGGAATTCTATGATCAAAGAGAATAAAATAAAAACGAAAAAGCGATAGAAGAAACCTAAGCAAGCTCCTAGCAGAATTCTGGTAGGGCATATCTGAGATGCCGTCGTGACTAACAATATGTCACATCGGCAGTGTTATTCTCGGATATTTTGCCACATTGTGAGCAATATCAAAAAAATTATCAGAGAGTGAAATCCGCAAAAAGGGTTTTTATAAGATCTCTAAAAAACCAACAGACTTCTCGCGAGTATAACAACATTTCAATTGCACAAAACGACAGTACGAGAATCAAGACTCAGGAGTTGGTGAAACGTGTGTAAACATTAACACATAGTTTGACTTCCGAATAATACACTCTTAGAAGCAAATACTAACACGATCACTGGCAAAATGAAGATTAAGATGCAACTTCCATGGATAAGGACAACTAGTGAGATCAACTTTCAATTCATACTTCTGCTTTGTACGCTCATTTAAGCACTGAATTTTGTTTTCATTGCAGTTGAGTGTTAGTTCCACTGTATCATTCTCACAAATGTCACCATCCCAACCTCCATATCCATCAGACTGTACGCCGTTCAACCAGACTTGTCCGCATCCAACAACCCACCCATATGCTGATGGTGATGCGTAGGACCGTGCTTTCATTGGTGTTGATGATGAAATGATTCCAAAAAATAGCCAGTCGCTTGAGCTTTTGTCAAGCTTAAAGCGTATGTTATGAATACCTGTTGAATACAGATTTCTTCCACGAATCTGTGCATGGGCGTTAGTACCACACTGAATAGCAACTAATCCACTGTCTTCCACAGTGACATCACCACACACTTTCTCAAATATTTCTCTCTCACTGATTTTGATTTGTTTAATCCAAGATAATTGTGCCTGCTCTTCCATTATGATGTTTGGTGGTGCTGCTATTTCCTCTTTCAGTTGCTTGATTTGTTCCATCCACTTAGCTAGATCTGGCTCAATGTAGTCATCGGCATCTTGACCTTGTGTTAGTTCAACA